TCATAGGAATAGTAAGAAACCTCGGACTGGTGAACAGGCACTTCCTCTTCTAAAAGAAACGACAAAACCATTGGAGATTTTATCTGATAGAAGTACATACTACTGTTACGGGACAATTATCAACAGTATCTCCTACTAAAACTCTACATAATGCATTCATACAATACACATTCCTGTATCTAATGTATATTGTAGCTCCTGTTGCCCCATATTAAATGTCGATCGTGTTGGAGCTACCTCTCATTTACCTTGTCTTGGATGGCAACCTGTGTCTTTTAGTAATACTTAGCAATGATTATCATGAAAACTTTGTAAAATTAGCAAATTCTGATTTGGAGTACTCAATACACAATGTGCCCCAGTAACATACACTCACTTGGCACTGGCCAAGGCAACCTTGAAAATATAGCAAACTTCAAATAATGATGGTCGTAACAACATTCGTTGTTTGATGAAAAGCATATAATTGCAGTGATATGAGTCAGAGTTCATTACTTAAAGGACCACTATAGTGCCAGGAAAACATACTTGTTTTCCTGGCACTATAGTGCCCTGAGGGTGCCCCCACCCTCAGGGACCCCCTCCCGCCCGGCTCTGGAAAGGGGTAAAACTTACCTTTTTCCAGCGCTGGGCGGGGAGCTCTCCTCCTCCGATCCTCCTCCGATCCTCCTCCTCTCCGCCCATGCGGCTGGCTGCACGCGCATTCAGCTGGTCGCATAGGAAAGCATTTACAATGCTTTCCTATGGACACTTGCGTGCTCTCACTGTGATTTTCACAGTGAGAGTCACGCAAGCGCCTCTAGTGGCTGTCAATGAGACAGCCGCTAGAGGCTTTGGAGGAAGGCTTAACCCATTTATAAACATAGCAGTTTCTGTGAAACTGCTATGTTTATAAAAAAATGGGTTAACCCTAGCTGGACCAGGCACCCAGACCACTTCATTAAGCTGAAGTGGTCTGGGTGCCTAGAGTGGTCCTTTAACTAGACAGGTCTATATAAGTCAATTCAAAGTCTTAATTTGCTAGAACCGTAGACACACATTAGCCTAGCAAGATACAAGAAAAATACCTGTTGTCTCCTGAGGTGGTTCTTGCTCTTTGACTGTTGCAATGTCCGACTCTTCTTCAGATATATTCTCTTCTACATATAAAACACATAAGAATAGCATATTATGTTTTGCAGGAAAAATACAGCTCTCTGAATTTGAGACACCAGTTTAAATGAAAGTATATAGCTTAAAGCCTCCTTTTCCAATGATATTTCTCTTACCCATGGTGCACTGAGTCATAGCCACTTGCTCGATCCTGGTGTTATTCCTGCAGGCTGTAACCTCCATCTGACACTGGTTTTGATAGATGACTCCATCAGAGCCACACACAGGGTCTCCATCATACCCACAATCTCTGTAGCACATACAGCGCTCAAAGTGATTCTCTTCACGGCAAGAAAATGCTCCATTGCAAGAGCCAGAAGGGGCATAGCCTGTAAAGGCAGTGAAAGTCTATAACTCCTTGGAGATGTTACGGATCCACAAACAAATTAAATAGAAGAAATTGCATGTTTGCCCTCCTTATACACAGAGTATTAAGTGATACATCATGTAAGGAGCATGAAAGAGGTGGGGATAGAACTTTGAGAAGACAAATTTTATAAGGGTTTTCAGTGTGCCAGTCCTACCTGTCCAGTGGCTAGTTGAGCTCTCCACCTCATTGCATGTGGTCCCATCACAAAGTTCCCGAGACAATGGACTGCTCTCACTGGCATTATAGAATCTTGTGGCTTCAAATGCTGTAAGTGGTTAAAAGTGGAGAAATATAATAAATATGCAGCTTATTGCAAACAAATTATATAAAATCACTGTATAATAGCGCATTGATAGAGCTGGACAATATTACAGTGCCCATCTATAACACTGGCTAGCAAAGGCACATTGTTTTGCCCTTTCAAGGGGCTTCTAAGTGTAATTTAATAGTGTAAAAATGATTTTTCTGAAGCTATGGTATTATTTACAGATTAAAACAATTTAAAATATTGTCTACATTTAATTAAATGGACTCTTAAATGTTCCTAATATTCATGGAGGATAATTCCCCATCTTTATTGTAAAGTGTGGAAATAACTCTCCACAATAAAGTTTCCCTTGAACCGTTCCATTAGTCTACACCGATCAGGTGATTGTTTATATGCTCAAGCATGTGTTAAAAAGTCAAAATATACTGACATTTCATATGCACACCATGTATTAGTATAACAAAGGGAAAATATGGATGCTCACTCATCCCAACAAGATTTTGGCTGCATGTTTTAGATTTTCTTCAGCACTCTTTGAATCAAAGCTACAGAAGGATATACTCCAAATGTTAGGTTCAAGTATTTTTGTAATATTTGTTGGCTTTAACATCTAATACAGTAATCTGAGCATGCTATCCCATACCAAACAGACACTCCACTCAAAAAAACAAACAAAAACACAAATAACAAATCACATTGTATATAAAAATAAAAGAAACAAAAGAGGCCCAATTTGCATTTCCATGCTCACTGGTATCTTCACCAGAAATATAGGACTGATGTGATGTGTTTGGTTTTTTTGGGGTGGGTGGGGGGAGAGGGGCATGGAATGTATTTGGTATGGGCTAATGTACTCTCTGGGCAGTCTATCAATACAATTTTTTTTAGTGTTGTAGAAATGGTTCTAGGATGTTTTCCACAAAATATACAGGAGCGGTCTGACTGGTTAGATATTCACAAGATTATACAGCTATGTTTCGCTATGAAGGGCAGTATATCTAAAACATCATAATCTGAGGGATACTGCACTGTGCTTAGCGAAATCAGGATTCCTCCCATGCCATTTGTATTTAGCTACTTATTTAAATACAAATTAGTTACAGTTTAACAAATACGGTGCTAGAGAAATGAGGCAGTTAGTTTAGCATCTCTCTTTTAAATCTACCTTTAAAATCCTTTTATTACAATTTTTAGGTAATGGCAAGACATAGGGTTTTTTGGACCCCGGACCCTAACACGGACATATGACTGTTTGGGTTGGAGTTCGGTGTTCGGCGATTTAATGGCGCGTTTACAAAGGCTGCAGGGCAGCCAATCAACAAGCGTTTGACTCGTGTGCCCTTATAAGCCATCACAGCCATGCCTACTAATGGCATGGTTGTGATTGGCCAGTGCAGCATGTGACTCAGCCTCTATATATAAGCTGGAGTCGCGTAGCGCCGCAAGCACATGCGGTCTTAATAGTGTATGGAGAGGATGCTGCCGCTGATAGGGACAGCTTAGGAAAGAATTCTGCAAAGTAGTACATTAGTGGGGTGGGGTGCACTTCATATCTGAGAGTCAAATAGAAGCTTCAAATACCGCGTTTATATCGGAGTTATAGTACATTAGTGGGGTAGTACATTAGTGGGGTGCACTTCATATCTGAGAGTCAAATAGAAGCGTCAAATACTGCTGTCACATTGAGTTTTAAAACTTAAAATTTTTTGGGTGCTAAAACGTACATTAGTCAAATAGAAGCGTCAAATAGAAGCGTCTAATAGTGTGCTTACTGCGCACTTGTAAACATTCTAATTGTTTTGCTGCTAATCTGCTAAATACTACATTTTGGGACCTGTTCTTCATATCTGAGAGTCAAATAGAAGTGTCAAATAGTGCGCTTACTGCGCACTTGTAAACATTCTAAATGGTTTGCTGATAATCTACTGCTTACATTGGAGTTTTAAAAAGTCACATTTTTATTTATTTATTTATTTATTTGGTGCTAAATAGTATATTTGGGGTGTTCACTTCATATCTGAGAGTCAAATCGAAGCATAACTTTGATTCAAATTCACTACATCAGTCACTTGTAATATTGTTTCACACCTACAACACCTGTTACACAGATCTAAGTGATAGAAAACAGATTGATATTTTCTACAATAGAAACTACCAGATAACAAGCTGCTATATTTAAACCAGTCATCAATAGCTAAGATGTACTAAAACAATATTGTAATTCTGGGGCAATACCCTCACAAGTCAAACTGAGAGGTCAGTTTATAGGGAAAACTGTTGCCTGGATACAATTCTAAAACAATTTCCATATGTCCTTTGCAGACTTTACATACTGGAAAAACACAGGTGCCAACTACTGTGGCTTTTTTTGCAGTGTGCATACCGGCAAGGAGGGCAGGGTTGAGGTGTGGGTGGAAGATGATGTGCAGGATGATGAGGTCCTAGACCCCAAGGTCATGCGAGTGACGTGTGCAGTTTGGAGGAAGAGGCGCTGGACGCACAGAGGTACCAGCACGGCATTAGAGGGAGCAGGGTGCAAAAGCGGAATGGCCGCCCCCTAGCCCTCGTCGGCATGTATTAGTTTGAGAATGACCAGTTATCCAAGTAATACATGTAGTGATCAAAGGATCCATAATAGAGTTGAGCGAACCCGAACTGCAAAGTTTGGGTTCGTACCAGTTATAACGATCCATTTGTAGTTTCACAGTCAGGTCAGCAGTCCGGTGACCACGACCCAGACACTTTCTGGGCGGCGGTTGGATGACCGGGACCCATTATACCTGATGTTGAAGTTAGGAGGCACAGTGTGGAATGGATTAGCAGGGTCTGGTGCAGGGTAACCGCACGTCCCCTGGTGTTGAGCACCAGCGTTTGTGTGGCCACATACCAGGATCCTGATGCAGCTTCAGTAAAAAGAGTACTGGATACCAGAAGCCATCACCAGAATCATCCGCAACTTGGAACAGGATGTGACATTCACTGTAGCGGCTGTGCGCACTTTTGGCGTTGTCATCCTGCTGCTGCTCGCCTGTTTGCGCTGCAGCGTAACTTCGGCCTTCCCGCACACCGCCTCATGAGACTGTGCGAGCAGCAGCAGACGATAGTGGAGTTTCAGCTGCAGAACGCACAGGTCAGTGGTTCTGCACCAGACTTCCCTCCAATTGATCAGAGTTAAAGAATTTCAAGTGGACTCATTAAAATTATAGGGACACTACCTTCCCGCGTCAGGAGTGGGTCATTTGCGCGCCTGCTGCCTTCCTTGCATGTGGTAGCCGTTTCTCAGGTTCCCTGTACGGAATGGAACCCTGATTCCCAGTTACCTGTGGTCACCATGGTAGGCGCAGAAACTGGCATCGAAAGTTGATATGGATGACATCCGCATGCAAAGTCGCCGCCACGGGGATGTACGATTTACCCGAGGTTCTCTAGAGTCAACAAATTTCCTGCGCAACTATAATGTCAACAGCTACTCTGTAGAACAGAGTTGTCTTTTTTTATATGTCCCAATATTTTCCCATAGAACTGTTCATAGAATATCCTAAGGGGCAGAAGCACCTACACTTCTCACGGCCTTTGGTCTCACGGACTTGACACCTGCTATCCTGACATCTCCCAGACCTGGGACCCAAATCACGCGGTGCCCTTTGTACCAATAACTGGATTGGAGAATGCCTCGGTTCCCTGACTGGAAAAGCAGATGACTACAACCCCAAAAGAACGGCAGGAGACTGCGCAGTTCAAGTTGTTTATTTTTTATGCTTCTGTTATTTTCTTTTTGTTTTCAAGCACTATGTTACACCCAATGGTTCCCTGCAGGCCAGGTATTGGGAGACGCCTAACACTGGCAGTTCCTTTGGGTAATACAGTCTTAACCCAGTTTCGCAACTCACGCAAATCTAATCCACAACAAATGGGTGGTCACCCCTAACCAAGGCAGCCAATGCTGTCTTGGTTAGGGGTGACCACCCTTCTTGAGTAGCCCTTGCTCATTTTATAAACACCACAGCTTCTAACGAATGCACAAATTTTGTATGGCCTACTCCTATACACTTTATGTCGTTATAATCACACATTGTAACCACCCTCGGATATCCTCTTGTACTGAACATGGTCTAAGATTGAAATCTGGCAGATATTACTTTCGGATCTAAATTTTGCTTCAGACCACACATAAGCCACATCAGTATATTACTTACAATATTGTAATATGTTTATGTATTATCACTGTCTCCTAGGGTTACATAATTGACTTTTTAAAAAAACAAAAAAAAAACGTGCAGTTCTGCTTTGGCACCTTTATACCTTCTACCTATTGATACATGTTTGACTGATGCAGCTGTGTCTTATCATGCCTCTAAAATAAAAATTAAAAAAGTATATATATAATATTTCTATAATAAAACAACAGTTGCCATCTATTCTTCATCTTAATATACAGTATGAGTATAGAAAAATATGAAACAGTTAAAAAAAAATAAAATAAAAGAAGCTACCTAGGGGAGACATAATGAAAAAGGTACTTTTACTGTTTACAGTCTCAAGTCCTTACCATTATTTCCCATTGTCCATGCTATGATTGAACAAGAGTGGTTTTGCTACTATTTTCATACTATTTGAAGATCCTGTGTAAATTTGCCAGTAAAGATTGAAAAGTTGCATTTAGTTTTCACTCTATAACTATTTCCCATTATGATGTATGGCATATATGGCTCACAGTGTGCATTATATTATATATTTTTTTTATACATTCTTTATTTTTTTAGGGTCAGCAAAAACTTGACATGCATAAGAAAAAGTAATCATAACAAACAGAACAACATGGGAAGAATCAACTGTATTTTAAATTATGTAGCGCTTCATAAATCACTCCTGCGTGGCTGCGTCTGGTCTAAATGGTTGGTAAAACATAGTAGGTAAATGGAGGGTAATCCATTATGTAGGGTACTAACTAAAGGCACATATGAGATGTAAAGAGCAATTTAAAAGCCTCTAACAACTTGCAGGCAAAAAAAAAAAAAACCTATACAGCAAGCGCTGTATATGTATAGGAAGGCCAAGGCCACTTGCTAAAAATGCAATAGGGCATATATTTAAAATAAATTTACTAACACATTTTTATTAGTAATCAGGAGAGAACAGTGAATATATTGTTAACAGATCTATGGGCTTACGGAGCAAGGATATTAAATAATAATAAACCAACAGTGTAAACTTAAGTAACAAAATCATAGAAAGTATAAAATAGGAATCCAAAACTGCTTGTCTCAGGTAGGTGATTTAATCATCCCCGACACAGCTACCCAGGGCACAAAAGGAGCCATTCCAGCAACAGATAAAGAGGGGTGAGCCTCCGCCAGGACAGTCTCTGCCGTCAGGCCCAGAGACTGGAGGAAAGCTTGGACTTTAGATAAATACAACAGGATCATCTTGCAGCTATGTCTACCATCAGGCAGTGTGGGCCCCACTTGCAAGGGATGGTGTTCTCACGTAACAGCTGGGTAACCTGCTTGAATGAACTCTGCCATGTAAGGGTATCTCTGCAGAAGTCTCTATAAAAAGAGAGCGGTGTCCCTTCAAAGGGTACCGTAGAGGGTGCAACCTCTAGCGGCCCCCTAAGGATTCCCCACCAGAGTCCTAATTTGAGAAAAACATTGAGAAGCTTCCTGGGTGCTTTTGCAGCCCTGGGGAGATGAAAGCAGGAATCAACACTAGCTGCTTAGCTTCCTCTGGCGCTAATAGAGTAGTAATGGGGTAGTTCAACACTGGAAACTGGCTCAGGTATTTCCCAAATCCTCACATTGCATGCTTTAGCCTTATCTTCCAGGTTGGCCATTTGCGCTGTCAGGCAGGGCTGTATTTAAGAAAAGGCAAAAAGGGCATTTGCCTAGCGTGTCACTTTCAGTGGGGCAGCAAAAAAATGTCGCCCCAGGCAAATTCCTTGTTTTCCTTGTGTCCTGGGGGGCCCAAGAGCTCGCCGTCTGGCCGTCGTAGGGCTCTCCCGAGGTGTTAAACTACTAATATTCTAGCCGGGCAGCGAAGGAGACCTGTCCTTTGCTCTTTTTGCTCCCTCACGCACCTTTCTGTGATGCCGGGAGCCGGGATATGACTTCACTCCGGAACTGGCATCACTAAGCGGTGCGCAAGGGAGCTGAGCAAGAAAAGCTCAGTTCCCTCACCACCTCCAACACCATCAGCCCCAGCCCAGTCAGCAGGAGCCTGCCCAGGCATCCCAGCAGCTGTCAGGGACAGCATCCACTCCATATCTCCCAAAGGTATAAATCAGCATTGATTTATCTTCTATCTCTTCTATTCGTTTTATTAAATTTAAAGTTCTAATCTATCTTTGTACTCTAAACCTTTGTTTCTATCCTTATGCTTTTGTTCATATAGAGGGGTTTTTCTTCTGTAGCCATTTGAAACAGAAGATTACAGAATTGAAATGATATGCACCTGGCTATTTTGTTTGTGTTTCAGAGTTTGTTTTAACTTTGCCTACATCTTTTTTTTATATTTAAAGGACCACTATAGTCACCCAGACGACTTCAGCTCAATGAAGTGGTCTTAGCCATTCAGATGTAAACATAGCAGTTTCAAAGAAACTGCTATATTTACATTGCAGGGTTAATCCAGCCTCTAGTGGCTGTAATCCTGACAGCTGCTAGAGGCGCTTCCCTGACGCTATATGCGAAAATCGCATTGAGCACGCAGAACGTCGATAGGAAAGCATTGAGAAATGCTTTCCTATGGGTGTTTTTAATGCGTGCGGGGCTCTGGCCGCCCATGCGGCTCCACTCTGGACCTGACGCCGGAGGGGGAGGACAGGTCAACAGTTCCGAGGGAGCCCGGCGCTGTATAAAGGTAAGTGTCTGAAGAGCTTTTAACCCCTTCAGCCCAGTGGGAGGTGGTCCCTGAGGGTGGGGAGACACCTAAGGATTATATATTGCCAGGAAAACGAGATTGTTTTCCTGACACTATAGTGGTCCTTTAATCTTCATTTTGCTTTTCTTTTTTAACCATGTTAGCAAAAACATAATACATATCTATATTTTTAAAAAAGTTTACATAGTTTATGACATACCCTTACATTACAAAAATATATACAAATACATACATATATACAAACATAGGACTTGGTGTTAGATAATCTATAAGTGACTTCCTTGTGTATACAAAGCAACTTTCAAATATATATTCATACGTATCGGCTCATATGTTCTCTCCCTTTACCATTCTTCACCCATTTCCTTCAGCAAATTATTCCAAAGAAAATACTTTGTGTTGTCTTTGTTAAAATATGACATTATGCCTCTTTCCATTCTACATTGGAAGATAAACTGGGACTTAACCACAGACCAGTTGGTTAACTTCATTGATTTCCAATTTTCTGCTATGTGTAGTTTTGTTGCTGTCAATAAATGCATAAATATTTTTTCTGAACTTGATTCAGCCCTTCTAAAGACATATGTAATAGTGCCCTCATAGGCGTAGGGTTGAATTTTCATCCTAAACAGTTCGATAAGAATTCCTTACTTTAGCCCAGATTGAATTTAGCAGAGAGCAACTCCACCATATATGCATTTGGTCCAACTTAGATCTATTACATCTCCAGCATCGGTCGATGCTATTTGGATACATTCTAGCAATACTGGCGGGGACCAGGTGCCATCTATTCATTAACTTAAATTGTAGTTCATTAAGATTTAAACAATGAATGAATTTCAAAGAGTGATTCCAGTCTAAGTATGAAACAGGCAATTGAAGCTCTTTTCCCCATTTTTTTATTGCTGTCGCGACATGGTCTATCTTTAGATTTTTTAACAAATTATGACATTTTGTCATTAGCTTTTTATAATCTTTCTGCTGGATCATATTATTCAAAAGCTGTCTGGCAGTACCCATGTCGTTTCTATCTACATATTTATTGAGAATACCTTTTACTCTCAGATATTTAAAAAAGTTTGATGTAGTCTATATTCTGTTTGTAGGTTAGTCAGTGATTTTATATCCTTGCCTTCTAGCAGATCTCTAATATATAATATCATTTTTTCTTTCCATAAGAAAGGTTTAAATCTTCAGTTAAATATGAAATCAAAATGAAAGGCATCGGGGCCCGGTGAATTTCTTGTTTTGAGCCTGTCAATCATTTTAATTACCTCTTGGATGGAGAAAGGTTTATTAATCTCCTCTAGCACCTCTATAGTTGGCTTTGGGAATATTTTATCCCTAAAATACTTAGAGATTTCTATACAATTAGTCCCTACTGGTAGTGAGTATAGAACCTGATAGTTTCTGCTAAATGCCGAGCCTATTCCTTCTGGGGAAAGAAATATTTTTTTAAATCTTTAAATCTGCACTTTTATTTTTTTACTTATTTGATAACATTCTGTCGGCTTTATTACCTCTATAGCAGGCTGCCCAACAGGTAGATCCCCAGATGTTGCGGAACTAAAACTCCCATGATGATTTGCATGCCTTTAGAATGCATTTAGAATGACAAAGCATCATGGGAGTTGTAGTTCTACAACATCTGGGGATCTACCTGTTGGGCAGCCCTGCTTTATAGTATCTTACTGAATTTAATGCATCTAGGTTACGATTTGCTTTCTCTATTAACTGGTTAT